TCACAGAAGACAACTTCCTTCCTTCTTCTTCTTCCCTTCTCTTCCGTCCATGGCCAGTGTCTGGGGAGGACTCTGTTCATCCATCACCGTCGACCCTTAGGCTCGAGATCTCCTGACCCCCAATAACTCTCTGCTTTCTCCAGCAGCAGCTCCGGGATTCCTCGGGACTCTTCCCAGTTCAGGGAAGTGCTGTGGGAGTTGCTGGGGGCGAGGGGAGGTGAGAGGCTTTTGCCCATACCTGAATATATCTGTATATAATTGTATATATTTTCTTGTATCATTCATTAGTGTTTTAATTAAAGCTGTGTAGTTTAGTTTTCAACCCAGCCAAGTCTCTCCCTTTTTCTCTCTCTTCTTCCCTATCTGGGTAGGGGGAGGGAAGGGGATCAAGAGCATTGTTGTCGGACCTGAGTCAAACGTTGACACCAGTAGAATACTCAGTTTTGAGAAAATTTACTTATTTAATTGAAAAGCTTCTTTCCAGTTAAAATGGAAAAAATATAATCTACTTCTTTAACAAGACAGAGGAGGGAACCTGTATTTCACTCTTTTGATACGAAGCAAGAGCAACTGCACTGAGCACTACACCATTTCTTAGATCTTAAAGTTATCTGCAGGAAGACTAAAATCTAAATCATCCTGGTGTTTGAGCAAAGTGTTATTTCAACTCAAGAAAAAAAAAACCAAAACAACACATTAAGAAACCACTCAAAGATTAAGCTCTCTCATGCACTTACCCATCATTGTAAAGGTTTTTCCTGACCCAGTCTGGCCACTGAAAAAAAAAAATAGTCAGATAAAGCTTTACTCTGGCTCTGCATTTTTCATTAATCTGCATCTTTTAAGAACTCAGCTTACAATGAAAAAAATTCTTCTAAACTGAAGATAAAAAGAGGCAAGCTGAGAAATTGGTCAACTAAAGAGGTATAAAAACAGAACAGCAAGTTTGACCATGAAATTCTGTTGGATAAATCACCTTTTGTTCCCCCTGCTACCTACTATTTTCTTCCTTGTTTCTGTTGGAAAGAGTAATAACAGAACATAACACTTCAATAATGGCTTTTAAATATATACATTAAAAACATTTTTGGCTCAGTCTGTTCAGTTTTGTGTCACTCAGTAGTGCACATAATGAGGGAAGCACCTTTAAGTGGAATGTATATTTTTTTAACTCAGTTATTAGTCATGCTAGAGAAACTTCAGGGCGATTCCACTTAATTTTTCCACAATTTGTATTTTTGCATTTTCATCTGTAACAAAGACTCACTGAAGGCTTGAGCTGGCTATATATCAAGTCAAAGTGATTTTCATTCCATTTTACTATGGGCATACTGAAAACAACTAGTTTTCTCTTTCATAGTACCATAAAACTTCTAATATTTAGGTGAATGATAGTAAAATTGAAATGAGCTTATAATCCACATTATTGGCCTTAAGAATTTGAAGCACAACACCTACAAACAGATTTCTCTGAAAGAGGAATAAGAAGTACTCCTTAATATTGCAGGAACATTCCCAATGCTGTGTTGCACTACAGAAGCACTTTCAAAGCTTATTGCACTGTTAGACAGGCTCTGGTACTTCAAACCACAACTACTCATTACCAGTCTCCTCAAGTGTTGCAACTACTATGAAACACCATTAAAGGACTTACTATGCAAAGATGGTTCCATTGTAGCCATTCATGCAAGATTCAACAATAGTTCGGGCCACACTTGAGAACACTGACTCCTGAGGACAAGGAAAGGGAAGGCACTTGGAACCAGTCACTTAAGTATTTCTTATATTATACATTTTCTATGCCATCACTTCATAAAATAGAGACATTCCTTAAGGTCAGACATGCATCATGACCCCTGCAGTCCTAGCAAAACAATGTATCTTAAGCCTTTGTGAAATAAATCATTCCCTCTGAAAAAAATATATTCCTTGTTGGGAACTGTAGGAAAAAGAATAAAAACTTGGCATCATAGTAATGGCTTTCAAATTATATGATATTCATTTTGGTCTGGTGTTTTTGATTACGTTATGTGATTTACACCATCAGCAGGTCAAAGGTGAGCCTATGACACTCATCAAATCTAGTTAACCTCCAACATATGCCACTCCACAGTGGTATCATCAACAAATCAGCACAACTGCTAGCCTCATCTATTTTCATGCATTTCTCCTAGACCTGCAGGAAGCTACAAACAACAGCCTACAGCAGACAGGATTTGGATTTTTAAACATAAGTTAAATGGAATTGAAGTCTTAGTGAAATAAAGATTGTGTTCAAAATTTCAAACCCACAATATTATAAAAATTAAATTGAAGGATTTTCCTTCCAGTCTTACCTGTCCTAGATGATAAATGTGTATTTTAAAGGAAAATGTATAAGAAGGAAATATAACAAACAGAATATAAACTCTTAAGTTCTTAATATACCGATCACATCTTTAATATGAGCGACTGATTTCCAGGTATTATTATATGCTTGTCTCAACTGGGGACATTAATTTTCTATGGTGTTACTGTAATATTTACCAATAGAAGCTTCAATTTTTAATGCAAACTTTTAATAATAAAAAACGGTTAAACATGCATTAAGACCACGAGAGAGCAGAATACAGTGCAACATTTCTACACTGTAACTATATATTACCAATCCGACCACTGCAAAAACCAAGGACTAAGGCATTACATCTTTAGAAAGGTTTAGTACAGTGGTTGCCAAACTTTTGGGAAAAACTGCAATACTGCTCTGAGATTCTGGAAGTTATTACCTGTGTTGTTTCTGTATTTGCAACATAATCAAAAGTGAAGATCTTTGGCTCAGGCTTCGAATGCAGACGGATGGTATTCGATGAAAGAACAGACAAACACAAGCCCTGATCTCCATCAACCAATGCAGTTCCCTCTGAAGGAGGACGTACCCTCACGTAAACTTTGATAGCATCACCTTCAACACTAAATGAATATTTATGCATTACATCACTTCAAAATAGATACATCAGCTTTTGATAAAATTAAATCACAAAAGTCAGATTAAGTGTGTGAAGTCATACAAAGGTCCCTCCTGAAAATATACTGCTTCTAGCTGTACACATCAATTCACCACAAGTCACAAATTTATTAAAGATAATAATGTGACAGATTTAGAAACAAAGAATATGAAGTTAGTGGCATTTACTGCATGTAACATCAGTTCTAAAAAAACAGATTTCACCTTGAGATCTATAAAACCAGTGCTATAGTAATAAAAAATAATAATAAAGTAATGACAACAACGTTCTATAGTTTCTAAGACTATGGGATTCAGGCAGCCTTATTAGTACTGGAAGATATAAAAAGACTTTACAAATGGAGCAGATGATGCTGGAGGAAGAAAGTTACAGAGCAAGAAAGTTACTAGTGTTTTTCTTTACTACTTTCAGGAAGGGAAAGAACAATCAATTCATGATGCATGAATCTAATAAACTGTAGCTGCATCTACATCCTTAACCTATTTATCAGTAGATGCATCAGTAAATTTTGCTTGAATGCGTAACTGTGCATGACTATCAAAGCTTTGAGGAGTCCTGGCATAAATACCAGTATACTGATAGAATATTAAAGAATTAAATTCCTACATGAAACGGCAGCAACCTTGGATTGACTTTTCTCCATTCTCTCCCAAAAGCCAGTTGTAGTATGGGGGTATTGTAAATGTTATTGATTTTTACTTTTGGTAAACAAGGGGAAGGAACAGAATAGTTTTCAAAGAAAGGGAACCATTTCTTGACTGAAGTGGGGGGCTGGGAAGTGGCAGAAGAAAGAGTTAAAATGAAGAGGAAGCAGCTGAGAAAGGCAAGATGTTATACTGGATTTAAGACATACAATAGTAACTTGCTGAATCTTTTTTCATTAGATAATATTATTCTGAGTTGTGGCAGAAACTGTTTATATTTGGAGAAGGGCTTTTTGGGTTTTGTTTTAGCTTAGGACTTCCTCACAGAATTGAAGTTCCTTGTGGAATAGCTCTTCAGAGAAATTGCAGTTAGTGGACAAATGAGGATTCACTGCATGGCAGCATTCCAAGAGGAATCTGATGCCTCAGAACAACACTTAAGAGAACTTTTTCTTTTTTAAAAAACAAACTATAAGGAAGTTCAGAGAGGAAGGCAAGAATCTTGTGCAGGAAAACATGGAAAGAGAAAACACTTTAAATGATTTTATGGAGTTATACTAGGTTTTGTTTGCACTTCCTGTGCAATGTGCTTATTCCTATATGGAAACTGGCCAATACTACTTTACCTAGGTGAGTTTGACGAAGATAATGCAGCATCACGTAAATCCCCTATAAAAGTGAAACACACAAAAATTAAACAAGATAAAATTATTGCTCAAAAACCCCATTTAAATAGAAAATACTGTTTGCAGTGGTGAGGGAGATAGATGGATAGCTTTATAAATACCTGATTCACACATGAAACATGCACAAAAACATTTAGTAACTCTCTTCTTTTCACAGAAAGGTTGCAGCTTCTTGCAAAGAAAGGTCTGGTTGCACAAGGTGAGCATGTATGTACACACTGGTAAATGTGTGTGCAATGAGTAAATGTATAAAAGGTTTTAGAAGTATCTTGGAGAATTAGGAACATAAATGTTAATAGTATTATATATTACCATTAAGTTGTAAAAATTGCTAACACACTGCAGAAAAACTGATACAGCATGAAATAGTTTTACTGATGTGACTGCAAGAAGTCAGTTTCCTAAACCTTCCTAACGGAGTAGCTGTACTACTTTCACTTTTGTCAAGTAATATTGAGCACTTGTAAAGCATAAAGCTCTCCCGTATGTACGAGCATCATTTTTCACAGCTTCACATTTCAAGGCAGTGGCACATACTACCCCACAGGTAGACACAGTGACTTACTTTTTCTTCAAGGTGAATCTGATATGACATTATTTCACACAGGTTAGTAGAAATACTTCCTAAGTAACATAACAACATTTTTAAAATAACTAAATTCGCCATGACAGTTGATTTACCAAAATATTCCGATAATAAAGACATGGTAAAGTCTCTAAACGTGCATAGATTGCACCGCAGGAGGATCCCTTTAGAAGTTGGATTAATAACTATGTGCAATGACACCAGCCTTCCCATCAACACTCTTACTACCTAAATATCCTGCTGCTGCTACGTGAGCCTACTCTCTTTGATTCACACAATAACATTCAAGAAACGTGCTAACTTCTAATTCAGCTATTTGTTCTTCGAAACACCAGGCATAAAAATAAGAAAAGCAGTGCATTTAAAAAGGGAAACCAGACTGACAGATACTTGCACAATCTGTGCCTTGGGAAATTGCTGACTTGCAGTTAACTGAGTTGGCTGTAGTTTATTATTCTAGTTTATTAATATATTCTAACAGTACGACAAATACTTAAGGATGTGGTATTTGTCAATAAGAGCTTATTTTTCAGCTCCAACCTTAAAGGCCTGCTTTGACTCTAACGTTTGTGAGCTGTAACATCATCACAGCTCATCAAAACCCGACCAAGTCAGAGAAGAGAGCAACGTTGGCAACGCCTTCCGACCTGGCCGGGCTGCTCAGGCCGAGCAGTCCCGGGAGACGCGGGGGTCACCCCTGTCCGCCCCGCTGCTCCCCCAAAACCGCCCTGCCCGGGCCCGTAGC